TCTGGAATGATTATATTATTCAAGCATCCAGTCTGAATCTCCGTATAAGTGACTCATAGACTATTGTTGTTTTTAATGACTGCGCGTCGATTGCGAGTCGATTTTACGCTCGTAATATATCTGATTGCTGAAACTTGAAAGTATATGATAAATATTTTTTATTGTATTTCAAATATATATTACTGCCGAGTCGACAGGCATGTTCTGATCTTTAAATAAAGCTTATCTAATATATTTGAACGAGTTATTCTTGTATATTTACTTATATTTTTATACCGATGATCTCGGAAACGGCTCTAACGATTTCGCTGAAATTTGGTCTGTGGCGGTTTTCGGGGGCGAAAAATCGATCTAGATTAGTCTTATGTTTGAGTAAACGCGTGTTTTCCAGTTTTCATGCAGTTTCCTTTCGCATTATTCCACGTAGAATATTTTTAGTATTAATTTCGCTACGCTCGGGCATAAGCATCGTGCTCAAGCGGCTTAGGCGCAAGATTGACAATCGCAGGTCCGGGTTCGATTCCCGGTCGAATACAATGGTTTTACTTTTGTTTTTTTTTTTGTATTTATTCAAGTTTTTAGTTTTTTTTTTGATCTAAAATATTATTTTTTTATTATTGAATATGTTAGGGACCTACACTTCTTGTACCAAATTTTAAGTGAACATTCCACTTCTGAGGAGTAAAAATTTTCAAAAATTCCTGTAAAACTAAATTATGTTTTTAGAACAGTCATTAAGTGCATGCGAAATACTCGTAATAAAAATCGGTCAAATAAAAGTAGCCTATTTTCGTTCTCGTGATGCAATCTATGTCCTTGTCAAATTTCGTCGATATTTGTTCAGCGGTTCAAGCATGAAAATTTCACAAACAGATATAAAGAGGTAAAGTTTGTAAGTTTGTGGGTTTGTTTGTAGGAAGTAATCTCTGGAACTACTGAACCGATATAGATGAAATGTGCTGTGAAGATAGTGTAAGACCCTGGGAAGGACATGGGATAGTTTTTATCGCAGAAATGATCCCTTAAGAGGATGAAAGTTTATATAGGGAATCAATCATTTCTCAAGTAAGGGATATTCATTTATCTGTTCCATACTGACCGTTAAAACGTACCTTCAACGGTAACTCACGACCCCGAACGAAGCGAGGGTGAGTCTCTAGTATCATAGTAAAGAACCATGGCTATTTAAAGATAGATATTGTTAAGCATTTTAGGTGAGTATTAAAAGGAATTGTGTGTCGTTGCCAATTAGGTGCGTTCACTCGCAACGCTCCTAATGGAGCACAATACTGCTAATATGATAAACATGCCTCGTACACTTTGCACCAATTTAAATGCCTACCTACTTAAAGTAGTCTATTTTTTTTGCGATAAAAAATAATATTTTCCGATTGTGAATAACGAGGTTTGATTTAGGCTAAGCTTGATCGGATTTGTACTTGTGAATGTGGCTCTATAATAAACTTTATTTGTCTGTTAGTCTGTCTTGCCTGTTCCAAATAATATCATTTTTTTTAACTTTTCAGATTAATATTATTATTATTTTAAGAGTCCAATAGAAACATTTTAAAACACAACAGTTAAATAGAGTTATTTGAAAGTTGTAAAAGTTATAATGTTTTTGTTATCGAAATTGTGGAAACAGCTTTTTAACTAAGCATCTATTGTATTATTCCTGCCGGCATTGTATGTTTGAACGCAATTATAAGCTTTCGCGTGAACAACACAACCGGTATGTCCATATTCGCAGTTCGATTCCGGACATTGACACTTTTGGGTACACTCTCCATAATGTGCAGTACAATAATATGGCAATTTTACTACTTATCTATCTATATTCTATATTGTATATATAATTGAAATATATAATTGAAAATCTCAAAAAGTAGTCGATGGATTGACTTGAAATTTAGCCAGGTCTTTGAATTTTTACCCAAGATTGCTTATACATACATACTTTGTATCCCGAAGTTCCCATGGGAATGGGAAATATTTTAAATTGACGCATGATGGTATAGTTAAGTTGCTATAGTAATCGTTGTTATTTCTGATAAATTTATACATATAAAAAAATCTGAGTCGAATCTGTACATTGAATATTTTTTGGAAAATATTATTGATATAGTCATTATTATCGACATAGAGGTCGAATCTATAGTTTTTAGAAATTTTGTCTGTCTATCTGTCTGTCTATGATCGCATCATGGAATACCACTGGAGGGATTTTGATGAAATTTGGTATGATGATAACTGGTCAATATAAAGGATACTTTTTATTGCTGGAAAATATCTCATTCCTGAGAAATCTATACTACTCGTAACCGTTTAAACCTACTTAGGGACGAACCCGAGCGGAGCGAGGGTGTCGCTAGTGATATGTATGATATTCTTTCCATTGCTATCTTCGAATATATCTCAGGATCGACAGGAAATCTCAATTACAGCAACATCCAGTTACACACTACTTCACGTTAAAAGACAAATACAAAAAAATATCTTGATTTGCAGCCTACTACAAATGTCAAGAACATTTACTAGCGATAATCCTCACTAGGGCCTAGCCTTTTTAGATTTTAATGTTTAGATAAAATGATTTTTTTTTATTTAAAATTTATGTTGATCCTTGACTATTTTGTGTTATAAAAGAATTATGAAAACTACATACTCATTACTGAAAATATAAATAAATAAATAAATATAAAACTATATTTATATTTATTTATGTATTTATTTAAGGTGCTAAAATGTCTTGTTATGCCAGACGAATTGAGTACCTTATTCATTATTTTTGAAGTCGGTAATAAGTGATGCCTCAATGATTAATATTTATGAAGTATTAAGAGAGCCATCACTTACCGATAAGTTGAAGTTAAGAAATCCATACTTAATATTATAAATGTGAAAGTGTTTGTTTGTTTGTCCGTCTTTTACGTTGAAACAGAGTGACAGAATGACATGGTTGTTTGTGTTAGTTTAGCTTAGTTTAGTTAGTTTGGAGATAGTTGGAGAGTCAACAACAACTCATCATACTACAGATTATTCCTATTCCTATTCCATACTAATCTTTAAAACGTAAATAAGGATGAACCAGAACGAAGCGAGGGTTTAGTCTCTAATAATATACGAGTATATATAATTATGATTATAATCACTTGGTGTAGGTAGTGGTTTTTATTTCGACCGGCAGCAATTGTTTAAACCTTAAATTATTGAGTCCGACTGCAGCGAGAAATAATCTTGATAGTAAATAGAAATATCACTCGGCGTCCAATGTCGAGGCTCGATTATTATTTTGCATTACAAAAGCCCGCAGTGAGTAATTGTGCGTTTTGTCTGGATTGCGAAATAACGGTAGTTGTACAGGGAACGACAGAAGTGTTCTATTTTCATCATATACATAAATCTATACATATAATAAAATTGTAACTAAGCCGAATCTGTACATTAAATATTTTTTGGGAAATCTTATTGAAATAAACATCGTTATCAACACAGAGGCTGAATCTATAGTATACTATAGTTTTTAGAATTTTTGTCTGTCTGTCTGTCTGTCTGTTACCGCATCACAGAAAAACCACAGGAAGGATTTTGATGAAATTTGATATGGTGATAGCTGGTTATCCGGGTCAACATATAGTTTTTACCGCGGGAAAATATCTCATTTCTGAGAAAAAATACAAAAACTGCAATGTAAGAGTATAAGTACTAATATGTAAAACCTAATAATTTGATTTTCGGTCATATGAACGCGGGTGGAGCCGCGGGCAATGCTAGTTGTTAAATATGTTTTAGAAGGACGAACGAAAGAAGGAAGAACTTAGTTAATTATGTATTCGCTTATATAAATTTTTAAAATAGATTCTTAAAAGCTACACAAAACCAACTGGTACCAACTGAGCGGGGCCGCGAATGAACCACAACACTTAGTAGATAAAGTCTTTTACGTGAGTTTTGATGTTTCATTCTTTATTGTTACATATAATTTTAAATACATAATAAGGCTTCATTGGCACGCATAAGAATTTGCATGGCAAATGTTAGTTTCACGGCGGACTTCTCAATATCAGATTAAATCTATAAAATCAAATTGTTGTGTAATTAGATATTAAATTCATTACAAAGGAACTGTTTGAAACATGTAACTCATCGCTTGTATTCAGCCCGTTTTAAGGTCCCACTGCTGGGGGTGGGCCTTCCTTCAATACGGGGGGATCAGGCCATAGTCCACCACGCTGGCCAAGTGCGGATTGGCGGACTTCACGTGACTTTCTAAAACTTGCTAGGTTCTCTCAGACGTGTTTCCTCACGATGTTTTCCTTTATCATGAGGCAAGTGGTGGTGAATTCGCACATGAAAATATAAGAGGTGCGAGACCCGGTATTTGAACCCGCTTCACTCTGTTTCCAAGGAAGCGCATTACCACTGCGCTACCACTGCCTTTATCTAACTAATATAGCTCTCGTCATAATTCAACGACCTATATAATATGGAAAAGGTTGAAACTTTAAAAAATATTAATAGATATTAATTTTATGTAACTTTTGTCTACGACTGTACATATCGAAAGTTTACGATCGCTTCTTTTGGTGCAGCAGAAATGGGAATTATCTGCAAAATGGATAGTCTTGCCCCACTTTCCGTTTTCATAGCAATTATAATGCCATGCTTTATTGCTCCTTCGCCGTGCACAACTTGCATTGTTATCTATTTGTTAATATTACTTATCGGTTTAGGGTTAAGATGAAACGTTATTTTTAGATGCTTTAAGGAAGAAAATTAATAGCTAAATTATATTCTATGTTTTTTGTATTTTATTATTTATCAAGGTCTCCAGACTAAACAGTTATGGCAGCCAATTTAGTGAGACTAGCTAGAAGACGTTATCGTGCATAAACGCGTATGCATTCTTTATTTTGAAATTCAAGGCAGATATTTGATGATTTTGTTCATATCATGTATTCTTACAAGGAAGAGTCTAACATATATCAATCTCTTTCCAGTACGGCAGCGATGAATTCGGCCATGACTCGCCGAGCCGATACGCGTCGCCCAAGGGGGCGGGCAACAGTGCTGGCTACCAGGAGCCGTACTATGGCGGAGAGTGGGCGGGCGGCTACTACCAGCCGCCTCCGCCCCCGCCCTACCACCACGATCCGTATGCTACGTCGCCAGGTTAGTTGGTTTTTCGTTTTAGGCCGATTTTGTAAAAGTGATGCGTAATTTAACCCATTATTTTCGTGATCATAAGGATAGGAATTACTTTTTAAGTGTTTTTTTTGGCTGGAATCACCTGTGATTCTGTCTGTTTATTTCTCCTGTGACATTGACAACGTAAATTTGACTTGAAAACGCTACGGCCTGAAAGACTGAAGATTGACCTAACGGTAGGTACAGTCAGTAAGTTTGCTCTTTTAGTGGCTAGCGTTAAGGCCTTAAATGCAGGGATTCCTGAGTTCGGATCCAGGGTTGGGTCAAGTATAGTTATTTGCAGTAGTAACCTGGAGATTTGCCGCCGAGGGTGATATCGCTCAGGAGGTCGTCATATGGTTATCTCTCTGCCTATCACTTATAGAGTGAATTATTCCTGTTATTTTACTATTTCATCTTTCCAGGTATAGCAGGCGCACCCCCAGCCGATACGAGCTCTGCCGGCGGCGCCGAGTTGCCATTACCACCGATGTCCTCGTTCAGGGCGGCCGCACCCGTACACTCGCCAAGCGATCCGATGATAGTGGCCAAGCCACCAATGCAGCCGGTAAGTGGAGTGTGGTCATGAATTTTTAATGAGTACTAAATGCGCCACGCAATTATTATTTTTTATAAGCATATAAAACTCAACTTCAATAAATTTGTATGTAAACAATGACTTTTCCATAGAAAGTCTCAAAAGTCATTGGTGGTAAGATACATATTATATCATAGTGTTGGCACTTTATGAAAATCCATACTGTTGTCAATTGCAAGGGTTGTCAAAAAATAAGATTTTTATAGAGAACGGTTTCGAAGTTAAAGCACTGTAGTGTCAACTCGTGGCAAGTTATAGTTATATTCGTTAACCCTAAAGCAGTTTTCCACTTGTCATATAAATGTAAACATTACAGTTGGGTGCGCATTGGTTGCCTATGTATTACTCCAGGTCATAGTTATGTGTCTACTAGCTATGCTCCGCGGTTTCACTCGCGTTAAATTGATTGCAAACATCAGTTTTACAATAATATATGGAAGTCTGCCTGATGTGTTGATATTTATGAATACTGCTCCGATCCTTTGAGTAGTAGCACGATGATATATAGCCTTCCTCAATAAGCGGGCTATCTAATGCAAAAAATATTTTTCAAATCGGATTAGTAGTTCCTGAGATTAGCGCGTCCAAACAAACAAAAAAAGCGTGTACAAAGACACACACACACATACATATACAAACACACACATACATATACACACATACAAATTGCATGTACAATAGTACACGGATACCCTATTGGTATAGATGTACGCGGGCGCGGCAAGCACACCGGGCGCAGGGGGAGAGGCCGGCAGCCTCTCATCATACGGCTCCTCACCCTCAACCCCCGTGCACTCGCCCCCGCCGCTGCACGCGCGTCTCTACCCCCCGCTCAAGCACTCGCCGCATGCGCATGCGCATCATAATGGACAGGTTTGTATCGATGTAATGTGAAATGCCTAGTTATTGTGCACAGTAGATACCTTTTTTTTCAGTTTTAGCGAATTGCTACTCCTTATTGTGTCTATTATTAATATATTATATTTTTCGATCAATTTTAGTAACTTACTCTTCTAAAGTATTCAATACTTAAAAGAATAATTTTTATCTTTTTGTATCCTACATAAATGAGTATATAATGGTACATGAAACATTCCAATGTCTTTTTTCTTCAAAGTTACCTTTGTTGTACTAAACTAAACCAGGTCTATCGATGCGCTTGCGCAGGCTCAAGTCTTTTGATACCAGGTTAACAGCCATTGGGATTACATATTTACTTTTAATTTCATTAATAAAGAAGAAATATTTTCTATATCAATATGTCAATAACGTCTCTTTGCAGCCATCAAACTGGGTATCCACAGGGGTGTCATCCCCGCCTACAGCGACCACCCCCCATGCGCCACTCCCAGTTCTGCCCAACGGGCACCAGCATGTCGTGTTCCCACCGGTAATGGTAAGTGCTAGTTTTAAAAGGTCAACTTATATTGGACTTTGAGAGGATAGTTGGAAAACTGAAATTATATAAGATTCTTATAGCAAAAGAATTACTTTGGAAAAGATTCATTCAATACATATCATTTGTTTGTACGCTTTAAATTTTTTTTTAAAGTAGGATGTAAAATTTGAGCATAGTTTGTGTTTTTTTTCCTCTTTAGCATGACCCCCGCATGGTTGTGACTTGTTACTAATGTTCATTGTTGATTTTTTTTTTCAAATATTTTTCCGAAAATTCGACGTTAGTGTTTTTTTTTCATAATAAATTATGAGACTAAGGACTTATTTTCGGATATTAATAAGATTTTTGATGCTTTTTTAAATAATGTGATATTTTTTTTATATAAAAAATTATTTCGTGTGCAATAAGACCACTTTTTGGTATTGTACATAGTATTTTTCCGAAAAAATAATGCACACCAGATATTTTTTTGTACTTAATTTCGTGTTTTTGTTGTTTACTGTGTTTTTAATCAGCGAGCGTTGAGCTATAAGCCGTTTCTCGGGAGTTTTTTCTGTAAATAAACTTAGATTTAGTCATCTTAGATGTTGAGTAGTTAGATGCTGAAGTAAATAATTTAATTAGATATTCCATTATATTATGGTAAAATGGAACTTATATAATTTTAATTTTTTTATTATATATTCCTTATTATTCGCGTTATATTAAATAAATTGTATAAAAAATGCGAATTTTTTGTAACTAAACAAATGTATGCACTGTATATATTACCATAAATACTGAATCAGTTTAACCATTAAATTCCCCTCCAATGCAAAAAAAAATGTCAAAAAATAATTTTGTTTCCTCAATTCCCAAAAATTTTACCACAAAAATGTACAATTCATCCCCCACCCCCCAAAAAAACTACTGCTACACCCCCAAAACTGGCTAGCTCTCGCCCGCATCTGAGCTATGATATGGTCAGGGCGCGCCGGCCGAGCAACGGCAGCTCGACGAGGCTATGGTGTTTCTACGCGAGCACTCTGATGTTGGGGTGAGTAGGGTTTCTGATTTAAAATCACATAAAATACTACATATATAAATAACTAGGTTTGGTCGGCGACTTCGCTTGCATAGAAAGCGGGACTGCGATAAAGCATAAATGGTATATGTCGGTCTCTATGATGCAATCTATCTACTTGGCAAATTTTATCGGAATCCGTTCAGTGGTGTAAACGTGGTGATGAAAATGTAACAGACATACGGAAAATTTTACTTTCATATTTAATATTATACGTTGTTTTACTTATTGAACGTAAAAACTTGTATATATTGTCGCCTTTCTGCTTATTTGTTTAAACTAAAACGCTTGCTGTACTTTACAGTGCAACAAGTTGTTTTCGTCTATTTTATAACAAAGTTTTATTTCTACGATTTATATACGTATATAGATAAAATACGTCTTTTCGGCTTTTTAGTAAAAGTGTGTTTTATACATAAATATATTATGTACAGTGGACTAAGCAATACTCTCATGAAATTGACGACTATCTAGAAAGAGACAAAGTGAACGTGCGGCCAATACCTGTCTTTTAATCCCAGTTGATTTTATAAATGGAATGGAAAAAAATATATATTATAATGCCAAGTAAAATGGATATAAATATCTATCTTCATTAATCGTATTTCAATGAATACAGAAAACTTCTGGCCGCATAATTTTTTTATATCAATAACATCAATTCAATTTTATATAAAAAACTGATCGTTTGGACAAATAAGCACTGAGATGACGATATGTGGGTGGGTTCATTCATAGTAATAGTTTAGCATGAGAGAAATTATCTATAGGTACGATGTCTCTTATGTTTTTTTTTTCAAGAATATACCTAAAAATATTAAATGCTAATTTTAAATACTACAATGCCTAAGGTGGGTACCTTCTATACGTTTGAACGATAACAATATGTTGATTTTCAAGCAAATGAAATTTTGTATTGCAATTAAAACATATTATTATCAACATTTATTCTCCTATTATCTATATATATATAATATATATATATATATATATATATATATATATATATATATATAAAATTAAGTACGTTTGAGTGTAAATTTTGTGGCATGGATATTTGAAGTGAAATAATTATTATGGTTATCAGTGATTTTCCAGTTTTGTTTTTTTTTTATAATAAAAAAAAAAATATAAAAAAAACTGTTGTACTGATAGTTGTAATACTAGATGTTTGAAGTGTAGTATGTGGCATGTGTGCTTCTTTCCCCCCTTGTTTTGCTATTGATTGATATCGCTTCAGCGAAAAATTAAGCCATAGACTAAAAAAGATTCAGTATCGATTTTTTATTAGTATCGATTAGATTATTCGATGAGATTCGATTAGGTTAATAATGTTAATTAAAAAAAAGAAGATAAATACTATTTAAATTATTATTATATTATATTATATAATCGATTTTTCTTCTACTTTTATATAAACAGTAAACTAAAACTAACCAAATCACTATTTATAACTACTTTGTTCGGACTTATTCAGGAAATTTTGTTAGGATTTTCACTAAAAGATATTAAATGCTATATTTTATAAACATACTAGCGACTTAAACTCGCTTCGCTCGAAATTCGAATGCGTCCCAAAGCTTGAATGTTTTAGGTACCCATAAAAAAACAAACATCCAAAGAAAAATCTATTTATGCGCCTGAAACCTTCGCAGGCGTATACAGAATAACCCACCGGAGTTTCATTACAATCGGATCAATGATTTAGGATCGCATACTATACGCATAGACTAGAAAACTAGGTTTAGCCCAGTCGGGTTAGTATTTTACACCGAAAAAATTCTCGGACAAAATTTCATTTCATCACTCTTTACGAAGAATCACTGGGAGTGTAAGTTTAAAATCGTGACCAAATTCGAGCGTTGCGTCAGCTGCCATCTTCATTTTAAGGGGGAATCGTTTTTCCTCAATACTTCGCCCATTTTCAATTTTTCGAGAAATATTATAATGAATATAGTTGTTGACTATTCAATTCTCTACATTTTATTCCTTGCCAATTTTTTCGAGCTATCGATATTTTCCGAGTTTTGGGTAAGAAACAGGGGAAATGTAATTATGGAAGTATCTCGTCTATTATTGACAACAAATTTACGTGAAATTAAAATTCCGACAACTTTAATCAGTACAAGGCAGTGGTAGCCCAGTAGTAACGCGCTCGCTTGGGAAACCGTGTGAAGCGGATTCAAATCCCGGGTCTCGCACCTCTGATATTTTCATGTGCGAATCATTTCTAACATGATTACCACTTGCCTTACGGTGAAGGAAAACATCGTGAGGAAACCTGCATGTCTGAGAGAACTTAACAAGTTTTCGAAAGACATGTGAAGTCCGCCAACCCGCACTTGGCCAGCGTGGTGGACTATGGCCTGATTCCCCTCGTACTGAAGGGAGGCCCACCCCCAGCAGTGGGACACGAAAAAAAAGAGCCGAATACAACGTTAATCTCTCGATTTTAAATTTACACTCCCAATAAGACTCCTCCCGAAGGCTGGTGAAAAATTTTTTTTGGCTTAGACTTTTTTCGGAATTAAGTTCATGTTGTCGACAACCCGACTGGGCTTGTACCGGTATGACGATGCTTCTGTATGAAGTCTGAAAATATCGTCCTTTCTGCGAGCTTCCGTGATAATGTAAATATCAAGAGCATGTAGGGACAAAATAAAACCAAAACAAAACAAAGTCAGGGTGGGTCACTAGTGTTTATTTAAAAAAATATATTTCTACTAATATTATAAACGCGAAAGTTTGTGAGAATGAATGGATGGATGGTTGTTTGTTACGCTTTTACGTAAAAAGCGGATTTTCATGAAACTTACATTAATAAAACTTATACATCAGAGTTTCATATAAGCTATTTTTAAAGATATAGTAAAATATAATTCAAGTACGTGTGCCTACGTGCTATTACATTTTAAATAAAATATTATATTATCCATTTTTTATAGCACTTTCCGACAACTCCGCCCGTCTGGTACATTAATATATTACTATATCTTTATGAATTGTCAATATGTTATTCTAGTATATTATAAGCTATGTTACTGGAAAGTTTTTTCAAAATCTGTTCATGAAATTGTGCGCGAAAGAGTAACAAACATACATCTTCACTAACTTTCGCATTTATAACATTACTAATCACTATCGCTAATCAGCCGTTGGGCTAACCTGAAGATGCCTGAAAATTTCATCAAAATCGCTCCAGCCGTTTTAGAGTTCATAGGGAACGTATTATGTACACACATACACACCGTCGCCTAACAATAAGTTAGTACGATATTAATGCCTTATCGATACATTCCAGGGAGCTCGTATGGAGGAGAGATTGGACGACGCCATCAACGTACTGAGGAACCACGCGGAGGCACCGGAACTATACCCGCAAGATGTGCACCATCCGCACCAACATCAGCCTGCCAGTGAGTTTTCCTTTAGTTATTAATAAAGTTATATATGTGTAGTGTATCAACTATCTGGTATCCATAACACAAGCCTCGTAGCTTACCATGGAACTAGACGGTGCAGTGTGTTAATGTCCCGACATATTTATTTTATTTATGTTTTTTTTTCCAGTGAGTCGAGTAGGCGTGGCGGGCGCGATTCCGCATTTGCACACCGAACCGCCAGTCAAGATGGAAAGACATCTGTTGCCTAATACCAGTTAGTATTTAATGTACTTTTAAATTTATTACTATAAACTTTTATTTATTATATCTGTAATAATGTTTCAAAGCAATCACTTTTTTTGTATTAGCATAAATATTAGAGGGCGCTCTTTGGCTCGTAAAATGTACCTTTGAAACGTGACAGATCAATAAACAAACATATAAAATGAAGTTAAAAATCATATCATACCCTACTCGTATTAATATTATAAACGCGATTGTGAGGAAGGATAGATGGGTGTTTGCATATTTGTTACTCGAAAGTACGCGCAAACATAAAATCTACTGAACGGATTTTGATGAAACTTTAGTATAGTTTAAACATCAGAGTAACGCATAGGGTATTATTTTTTTAGCCTTTTTAAAGCTTTTGATTCTTATATTTAGTGTGTCAAATTTTAATTAAATCTAGATGCTACAATGTCTATTTAAGAGTAAACGTTGTATTATTAATAGAAACTTAACAGTCTATAGTACCTACTCCATATATTCTGCGCTTTTTAACGTCCCACTGCTGGGCGTGGGCCTTCTTTCAATATCAGGCCATCGTCCACCACGCTGGCCGAATTCGGGCGGACTGAGCATGTCTTTCGAAAACTTGCTAGGTTCTCTTAGATATGCAGGTTTCCTCACGGTATTTTCCTTCACCATAAGACAAGTGATAATCATGTTGGAAATAATTCGCATATGAGAATATCAGAGGTGCGAGACCCTAATTAATGCCTACTCCTTACTTTATAGTTTTAATATAAAAAACAAACTCTTCAAATACATTTCAAAGTGATTCACAAGCAATATAACAAACTGATTTAACAGAGAAACGCAAAGAGCCCCCAGACTCCGGGCTCGACTCGAAGCCATCGTCGTCCGGCTCCGCGGACGCGCTCAAGCAGCCCGGCGGCAAGCGCTCGCGCAGATAGTGAGTTGTAACACCACACTGACCCCACAATACTCCCCAATAATATAATATCATCCATCCCCACAATACCTTCACTGACTTCACAACATTTTCTATAAACGTCACAACGACCCACACTAACACCCATTGTGCCCCCCTTTTTATAACGTTGGGATATGCATTTACGCACGAGGTGTGTGACTCACCGGCAAAGCCAGTACTACCCACTAAAATCCAACAAAGCCTTCCCCCGTCTTAATGGGGCGTCGCAGGATCGCTTACGCATTCAACTACGACGCCCCGACGGCAGGTCTGCCGAAGCAGACCACCGCAACCATGGGGTTGCTCCACAGTCCACTCTGCTATCAGAGAAGTACCAGGAGCAACCCGCGTGGTATACCGCCCTCCGAAGAGGGCTACCTCCCTGTGCGTTTCTTGGCTTCGCGCCCGGCTGTATTGCCGGGCTCTACTGAGCTCCCCCACCACGACAAGGTGAACGCACATTGGGGGACTCCCCACTTGCCACACGCATTAGCTCACTGACCCAAGAATACCCCTAATAAACTCCCCCAAAAAACCGCTCACAATCCCACAACTAACCTCCTTTAAATTGTAATCTTCCTTAATTACTGAATTTGCTCCATTTAGGTTGGAACCTACTTTCTCTTTACACACCTCTTCCCTTGTTACACTTCTACTGCCAAACATCTACCTCACTCTTAGATCTCCCTCTGACCTTCTTCGTCTTACCCATCTTCTCCGTTTTAAATTCAATGTAATTATAGGTAGAAAGGCAAAATCTTTTAGATACATATTACTAATAATATGTAAATATTAGATTTAAAATTATTAGTATTTCATTAAACTTTTTTTTCTAATAATATATAAACATAGTTTAAAAAAAATATAAGTATATTATATAAAAATCAGTCTATTATTCAATGATTTTGACCTTTCTACCCATTGTTATTGTTATATTTTACGTCATTTGTTACGTTTTTTTTTTCATAATTTTTTTTTACTAACTTCATCCTTTTTTTCTCTTTATTTAAAGAGCTTAGTCATGTTACTTGGTCTATTTTTGTCATCTTAAATTATAAAATGTAACTTATTTTTTTTTTTACTATCCTTGGGTTCGATTCCCAATTGTAATTTTTTTTTCATATAAAAAATTACATATTGTTTTTTTTTTGGTTATTTATTGGTCGTGTGTGTGTCATTATTTTGTGAAATAATATTTATGTGCTAAATGTGTGTAATTTAAAAATTTTCATAACTTTTTCTTTCGTAGCGTACAAAATCAATTCAGGTAGACAATATTTATTTTATTTAATAATTTAACCGATTTCCTTAAAAAAAAAGAGAAATTTTTAGTATACCATAATGTGTTTTTGGTATACAAAAAATATGTATAAAACAAAAATATTTTAACTCTGTTCATTTAGTGGTTTTTATTGATATAATCAAGTTTTATTAATATAAGAAAATAATATGGAACAAAAGGGAAAATAAAATCAATAAAAACTATAAATATTTTTTTTGTATAGGTACATGTTTCTTATATACAATGTACATTGTGAACAAATAGTTTTTTATATTAAATACATACATAATTAAATTCATTTTTTACTAATTCTATGTTTATTATTATCATCATCGATTATAAAGTTTCTATATATAAAATTAAAAAAAAAATCTTGACATTTTATTTTGACGGTCCTTCGATGAAGTCACGTAAAATGAACAGAGTGTAAAGAGTAAACGTAAAAATAATCTCTATGCATGTAACTATATACATATAATGTGAACATAAAGAATGTTATTTTAATATATGAATATTGTGTATGTTATGTATAATAGTAACCTCCCTCCGTCCAGCTGTTCGTCGGCGGACGAGGACGAGCTCGACCCCGACGCTAAGGCGGCGCGCGAGAGGGAACGCCGTCAGGCCAACAACGTGCGCGAGAGGTCCGGCTTGCTTGCATACATACATACACACACACATACATACATACATACATATATACCAGTGGCGAAGGTTTCATACAAGACGACTTCTTATCAATGTTTTTTTTTTCTTTTTTTTTGGGACGGCTTACCTCTGCTAAAATTTCATCCTTGGCCACTATACATACATACACACGTACACACATACATACATATATATCTATAATTTATATACAGATAATATGATTTTTCTTATACACTTTCGTACACCAATATTAACCAATAAAAATGTGTTGCCGAAATTTAAAGAAACACTCAATCCACTCTCTATATCTATGGTTAAACTGCAGTGGTAGCCTACTGAGAATACGCTCGTTTGTTTTAATAATATACTAAAAGAAATTCCATGGTTCCTACAGTTCCATGGTAAGCTACGAGGCTTGTGTTATGAACACCGGATAGTTGATACACTACACATATATAACTTTAAATACATACATATTATAAATATAAACACCCATGACTGGAATACAAATATTCGTGCTCATCACACAAATGAATGCCCCCAGCGGGACTCGAACCCGCGACCGCTGGCACAGCGAGTAGGGTTACTACAAACATTTATTTTTATACATTATACATACAAAATGTCCATTTCATTTTCATCTCGCACAATAAATACAATATAGATTTAAGACGTAGAATGGTTTCGTATATATAACGCAACATACTAACATATATTTATAATTTCAGAGCTTAGCATCTAACAACAGGTCACAGTATTCAAAATAATTTGAAAGATAGTTAGGTTCCTTTTTTTTTAATAGCGATAACTTCTCTATATCTTTTTTGTGTTTTTTTTTTAAATGTGAAATAGGTAAAAGGTAAGATATGAACATCCTAATCTATTAAAAAGCATGTTTTTGTAGATATATTCGATATATCGGTTTTATTATTTACATTGGATATTTTGTGCACAATTTCATGGGTTTTAATTTTTTTACGCGGAACCCTGATTATTTTTCTGAAATAAAAGTAGCTATCTGCCAGTGAAAGTCCCGTCAAAATCAATGCAGCCGTTGCGAAGATTGAAGTTGGAACAAACAAACAGACAGACAAAATTTTTAAGTTGTGTTTTTCTTATTAATACCGTATATAATTTCATACGCATTTAGTAAAAAGCTGTTATTTTGACATTACAAATAGACACTTTAATTTTATTTATCTGTATAGATAATTTTATTTTTTAAATTAATTATACCCCAAAAGTTTTCTGTTATTAAATGAAAATGGCCCATAACGAGTTACTTATTTTCAAGAATATAAATTATATAAATAAAAAAAGTATTGCTTTCAGTCAATCGGTGGGTTTTTGTCAAAATATATGTACATATATCATAAAGCTTGCATGACTCATACATTCGGTGGTTGTTTTGTATGGACCGATGTTCTATATAGGTGGTCGGCTGTTCTCTCTCGCGCGCTGACTTCGTTGCCGAGGTAAAGGTTTACAGTTTGAAGATTTTTTTCAGATTTATATTAAAAAAGAATTAAGAATATACCTACATGTATTATATATATATATTTTTTCTAAATATCGTTTTTTTTTAATTTTCTCTTTATTCGGTCATTTTGCGGTCATTCAATAGTTAGAATGTATGAATGAAATAGGGTCATACATTTTTTTTTTAGATTTTTTCTTTCAATTCAAAATATCAATAAGTCCCAATTTAGACCAAAATAATGACACACAGTTTTATTTTTTAGAAATTCATTCAAACTATTCGATTTCAAGTATCATATATTATTTAATGTTAGTATATATAAATATTAAATATATACAATATATAAGTACGGGTGTCCGTTAGTTGTTCGTCGGCCGACGAATGTGACGACGAAACGGATCCTCATGCGAAGGCGTTGCGGGAGAAGGAGCGGAGGCAAGCGAACAATGCTAGAGAAAGGTAGGGGTTTTTAGTATGTATGTATGTATGTATGTATGTATGTATCTATTTACGTTAATTATTAGTCAATATGATTTATTTTATTTATTTAGGTACACAAACAGAAAACAAATTAAAAAAAATACAACTACGTATTAAAAGTTTAAATATCATTTTAAATTTATTGTCCAATTGTGTATCTGTACACAACATTCAAATTAATACATAGAATTATATAAAGAAACTTAACCAAAAAGTGAATATTATAGTACGTGCATTTAAAATTAGACATAAATGTTGAAAGAAAAAAAATTACATTTCATTTAAATATATATATATATATATATATATATATATATATATATATATATATATATATATAATTTTGTTATTATCAAAATATTATAATACTTTCTTAGATTTACGCGAGTATTTGACGTTTTATATTAAAACTAGCTTTTCGTATTATATCGCGGATTTATTTGGATTTTTGAGTTTCTCCCGTGACCGTGATTGCTGTAAAGCATTCGAAACGTCGGGAACCAGAAATAAAAATAATTGCGCGAAAAAATCTGAAAAGATAGTTATATTTAAAACTACAGTATGAGTTTATATCTCAGTATTTGTAAAGCATGCCATTTTGATAAAGATTTATTCAATTATGAGACCAAACTTTGCTTTCAAACTATAACCAAACTGAATAAAAAAGTGGCACAATTCAAATAAGTGTCATTTTTCCATTTGTTTTAACTTTTAATAATATTTTTTTTAATTAAGTTTTATTTGATAATTGAATATTTAGCTTTAAATTTTATTATTATTAATAATACCGGGCTCTGTAGTTTCGTATTGTTTGTAGCTACATAGATTTTTTTCTTTGATCGATGAAATATTGATTTTATTTTGAGATTTGTGACTATATTTTAATTACGTTACACATCTTTCTTTACTTGTTTCGCCAAAGATTTTGAATACTGTGACCTTTTATATTACATATAGTAATATGTTATAATTAAAGAAATTAATAATACTATGAGTTTTAATAAATGTTTCTTAAACGGATAAAAACTTTAGCTGATAATCCGTTTGTCCTTCCAGGATAAGAATAAGGGATATAAACGAGGCTCTCAAGGAGTTAGGTAGGATGTGCATGACGCACCTTAAAAGCGATAAGCCACAGACCAAGCTGGGCATACTCAATATGGCAGTGGAGGTCATCATGACACTGGAACAGCAAGTTCGAGGTGAGTGATGATATATTATATGAAGTCATGTATTCAGCCCTTTATAACGTCCCACTGCTGGGAGTGGGCCTCCCTTCAATATGACGGGAGAGGGATTAGATTATAGCCCGCCACACTGGCCAAGTGAGAGCGGCTTGAGCATGTCTTTCGAAAACTTGCCATGTTCTCTCAGACATGCACATTTCCTCACGATGTTTTCCTTCACCGTAAGACCAGTGGTGATCATGTTGGAAATCATTCGCACATGAAAATATCAAACATGCAAAAGAGACTCGGGATTTGAACCCGCTTCACTCGGTTTCTCAAGCGATCGTGTTACCACTGCCTAGTTTTATTTAAAATTTCTCATATATTTGTGTAAATCTAAGGAAAGTAGTATGGAATAAGCAATTGTTTCCAGAGCGCAATCTGAACCCGAAGGCGGCCTGTCTCAAGCGCCGCGAAGAGGAGAAAGCCGAGGACGCGCCCAAGTTGCTCGCCGCGCCTATACACCACTACGCACCTATGCCTGTGAGTCATACTGATACTTATATGTATTTTTAGGGTTCTGTACTTCAAATGGAAAAATGGGACCCTTTTAGATCACTTTCTTGTCCGTCTATATGTCTGTTAAGACTCCTCTTTCTCAGGAACACGTGGAGGTATCATGTTGATATCAATAGCATTATCCAGGTCTGCAATACCATAAGTTAACGCGGTCAAAAGATACGGTTGTTTATGCTGTATATTTTGATACTCGCAAAGCAGTCGAAACCTATAAGGTACTTCCCGGTGACCTAGAATCATGATATTTAGCAAAGGCCAATATCTTATAACCCAAGTGAAGGGAAAAATCTGAAACCCGTAAATTTGTTGTTGCATCACAAAAATATTTGCGCTATTATTAAACTTATTTCAATGTTTCATACTACAGAACCCTCTGTATGCGAGTCAGATGTCCGGTTTGTGTAAAAAATTTTTAAGTCGAATAATAAAATATATATATTAATATCACATTTTTTATTGGGTAACCCTAATAAAATGGATAATAAAATTAATGGGTTTTGTTATTACGTGATTTAGTAACTAACATCCATGGAAACATGTAAATTATCACATTTATAATATTAGTAGGATATAAGAATTTATTATTCAAAAAATATTACTTATAAATACCTTTTTTTTCACAGGGCATGGGTCAAGTGTCGGGCCAACCCCCCACTGGACCCCCGCCACAATAGCGACACCCGCGCGCCTGCGCGCTGCACTAATTCCCCAAACATCCCCCGGCTACGACCCTCAAAGACCCCCACACACCCCCAACATACCCCTAGCCGGTTCTAGGGAGGGGAGTTGAACCCCCAAAAGAGGAGCTGTAAACCTTTCGATAATGTTCGACCCCTGTATATAGCCCCTAAGATGTATGGGTGCTTTAATTTAAGTAGGGGTTTAAGAGGGATAGAGGGTGTATATGAGCCCCAATATACGTATATCAGGAGTTCGTGTGTGTTTGTTTTTATTTTTTTTTTTATTTCGAAAAAGAATTGTTTTTTTTTTTAATTATTTTTGTTAAAAATATCTTTTAAAATTTATTATTATTTCAATTTTTTTTTATTTATTCTTCATTCTTCTATATTTCCTCTCTACAAAACTTATCTTGAAAATCAATTTGATTCTAAATATTTTTTATCGGGTTTGCCTTTTTTTTTCAATATATTTCATTGTTATTAAAATTTAATTATTATTAAATACCTTTTCTTATTATATATAAAAATAAATTAATTTCTTCTTTATATTAAAAAAACAAACAAACACACACATCATTCCCAATCAAAAAAAAGTAAGCATTGATTAGACGTCGTCTGTAGTTCGGAATTGTAACTCAAGTACACTTTGCCGCGTCTGTACTTTTATAATCTGTGTTGGAGTCAGAAAGAGTGAAAAAGCAGTGCGTAGTGAAAACAGACTATAAGTTAAGTGTGTATTATACATGACGTCACGGCGACGTCACGACGGCGTCAAGGCTGCGTCACGGCTGCGTCACAGCGACGTCAAGGCTGCGTCACGGCGATGTCACGACGGCTTTAAATCGACGTCACGACGCCGCGCCGATGTCACGCCCAAAGACAATGGGATTGTAACATAGCATAGTATATAGCCTAGAAATAAATATATGGAAAAAAAGATATTTTTAATTACAAATTCGTAATTTTTTTTCTTTTCGCTGCCATAAGCGTAGGTTAAGTGTCCGGGGCCCGCGGAATGGCAACACCGCTTGAGTTCACTTTTCACGCTCAGTTTCACGCTCGACAATAATCCGTGGACCCCGGAGGTTAGGTTTCGTTTTTAATGTACGGTTTTTGTCTTTATTGAACCTGTTATTTTAACGTGTTTTAGCCATTTTTTTTACAAATATGACTTTATATTTTAATAGAGACGAAAATCGCTTGAAATCATGTGTTTTTTTTTGTAAATGTATGTTTATGGGAATCGAAAAATGGCTGCTAACTTAAACGTGTACTTAGGATTTTTTTTATATATTTTTTTTGTATGTGACCCAACTCCAGTGATTTTATTTTTTTTATTATTATTACCCGCTTTTTACGCCTATTGCGTATTTTTTTATATACACCATATTTTTTTTTGTTTTTATTGTTGTATCGTACTTATATTTGTAAAGCAAAGTTTACTATTTGAAACAGATTATAAATAATAATAGTGATTATTCATTGATTTTTTTTTTAATTTATATATTGAAAATGAATTACGCATGTCGTATGTTTGCATGACACTTGATTCGCTATATATGGTTATATATAAATAAATAAATCTCTTTTACATAGTAAACTTTACCATAAGAAAATTTTGACGAAACGGACGATTGTTTTGATGGAAAAAATGAATGGGAGAAAAATCAATTGAATAATTTTAATTTTTTTTTGAAACAATGGCAACACTAATTTATTAAGAAATCAATAATATAGACATAATAAAATGCCATACTAGAATAAATGGAAATCCCGCTGAACGTTCGTTTTTTTGACATTTTAATGCAGATCATGACGTAATTGTATATAAAATAAAAATTAAAAAGAAATTGTCTATGGGGAATGGAAAGCTCAATGATTTATTTTAGCGTTTCGATTGTAATTTTTTTTTTTTAATTTTTTTCATATTCAAAATCATGACAGTTGAGTGGATGGACGACGATCGGGGGATTCCCGAGCGTACTGCAAGTAGCCACGGCTACGGAGCACGATCGCGGTAGTTCCCCTTGTATTATATAGATATAAGATTCAATTATTCTCAACAAAATGGCGTGTCAACCGCGAAATGGCGTCGATGATATAAGTTCAAAATATTTTTTTAGCGTATCCTAGTTTAAGTAATAATCATAGTTTTTAGACTTTTCTTCCAATTAGTATATTTTTTAAGTTTTTTTTTTATGATTATTATGTAATGCGATTCGCGCGTGCGTCTGTCTGTCGTACGGTTTACTGTAATTTATTTGTGGCACTGGAGTTATTTAGTTGTTTGGTCGCGAGTCGACGCGAGGCAGCTCCGCTGTACAGTTTCCGTTCAATAGTTTAATGATTACAGCAAAGTTCTTATTATAAAATGAATAATATTAATTAAATATAAATGTGCCATTCATTTTGCTAATGTTGTGTTTTATTTTTATTCTCCCTGGCTTTTACCCTATCGTCTGATACAGATATCTTTAATATTATCAATATTATACCAGTCGTCGTGACTGGTATAATGCCGTCATGAAAATGAGTGCCGCAACTTCGTCAAAGTTGATTTCCATATATGTGGAAGTTTTGTATTAGTTCTTAGTTGTGGTCTGTACATAGTTACGATGAAAACGCTTATGGTATCCGGATCCATAAGTCTTAGAGCTTTAGGAGTAAGACTATAAAGTAGCAATTTTTTTGCTGATTCTGAATCTGCATTTAAGTCGTTTTTGACCAAATTGTTAGTTAATTATTTATTATGACGGCAGTATATGAATATTACTAATTTTTAACAAAAATCTTAAAAATTGCTTTAAAAGTTATTACAGCCCCAAAGGTGGATTTTTCTTTAGAGAATCTCTATAATATTTATGAATAATTCACTCTATGAATACTAATATACTTGAAAATAATAATAATTGAAGAACACTACCTTTGGAGGTTTTTTTTTTAAATTGTCATGAGAGAAAAAATGTTGAAAAAAACAGGTATGCCAGAAATGAGTGACTCCGATATTTTGAAGTTGGTCAAAACCATATACTAAACAGGCGACAAAAAGGAGTACTATATCAAATGATATCAAAAAAGTCAATATTTCTTAATTTACAATAAAGAAAATTACAAATATACTCATACTGAAATGTATACTTAGTTATTACTGTACAAGTCATGTCCGCGTGGAATAGTGGCAAGAATGCTAGCCGCATTCACCCGTTGTATGGCAATGCCGATTCTTTGGGCGAAGAACGAGCCAGCTCTCCTGTCACCGGTATAAGGCGACGTCTTTTAAGAAGTGCTCACCACTTTGACTTCATGTGTAAGTGTTTCTACAGCAAATGGTAAAAAACATTATTTTCACTACAATTTGTATAGCGTATATACCTATAATATTCATATCTTTAAAAAAAATCGGTGCGCAAAAGAAATAAGTTCATCACATCATCATCATCATGTGTCTGTATGTCATACCCTATTTTCTCAGAATTAAATTGATGCTAAAACCATGGATGAGGATGAGGTCTCACCAGGAACTAAGTAAAAATAGTTCAAATATATCGATTTGCCATCGAACATTCAGTAAATAAACAAAAAATACATCTCAAACATGCCTTATATTAAGATTTAAAAACAAGAAAAAGTAAGTAAATAGTGCGAGAAATCAATAATAAGATGCAGTTCCATACAGTTCAGTTCAATAAGTTATTCTACATTTAACAGTATTTTCAACGGATGGAATTATGATGACACTGCTCGCGTGTCACACACTACACGCGAGTTTATCCGCAATAATGGTTTTTAAATCCTGAAGTTTTTCTGTTCACAATATATCCGAAAACTAATATTTGCATGATCTACGTTATAAAATAGTACTAGTTTTATTTAGCGAAAACCTTAGAAAATGTCATTTTAACACAGTTTCGACGGATTGAATTGTGACACAACTCGGGCGTGACACGCCACAAGAAAGAAATGTATGACACCCCTGAGGTGTCATTCGCAATGAATCGGTTAACAGATGGCGCTGTATTATGTAGTAAATTTGAAAAACATAATTCTGAGCGACATCTTCGTGGGTAGAAGTAGAGAATCTTATTGTAAGGACCCTAGATAGATGATAAATTAACAAGATATTTAAGAAAATGTTTAAAGATTTAACACCCCCTTCTTCACCTCCCTTCCACCTGATCTTCAAAACCACCTAATCTAGTTTTCTGAATAGAAAACAATAATAATATTATCATACTATATAGTAAAACCTTCACAGCAAGTTCAACTCTCACTTAAGCTATTTAAAATTTCACTTATTTCATTTTCTTCTTTTCTTATTCTTCTCTTTTACTTATAGCACTGGGTGTTAGGATGATACAAATAAAAATAAATTCAAATAAAAACTATCATTATGGCATTTTATATCTCGATTTCTTGTTTACGTTAAATTTATAAAAGAAAAAAATTAAATCCCAGGTTTAAAAAAAATAATTAATCATATGTGATTCTAATGAATCATTCGACGACACGTTTGAAAGGTTGTGGTGACTCTACTTGCTGTGCCAACGGTCGCGGATTCGATTCCCGCTGGGGGCATTTATTTGTTTGACGAGCACGAATGTTTGTACTCCAGTCATGGGCATTTATATTTATAATATGTATATATTTAAAGTTATATACGTGTAGTGTATCAACTATCTGGTATCCATAACATAAGACTCGTAACTTACCATGGAACTAGATGGTGTTGTATGTTAATATCCCAACATATTTATTTAATGATAAGGGAAAATAAAACAACGATATAGTCAATAAATAATACGAGTTTATTGAGCTACTTGTACAGTGTATGTATGGCTCTCAGGCTGCACCGCGCGGTCGTTTCTTTATACAAATTACAAATTCTAAATACAAATTCGATATTAAATAAAATGCTTACAATAAAATCATAGAAAATCCGAATATCCAGTCTCTTGTGGTGGGAAACGAACGGGTTAGCAAGTAGACCGACC